TATAAGTTTTTAATTCAAATGAGTCGATTACTATCTTTCTTAAAAATGTATTTCCATCTGTAGACTGAAGGTGAGTTGAGTAGAAATGACAAGAAGGATGGACAGATTGAAAGGCTGCCAGGCCATTCACTTCATTTGACCTGCATCAGTCAGAAACTAACTACCATTTTCTATGCTGGGAGATTACAGTGACTGATCAGGGTTGACAGCCAAACTTACCACATTGGTAACAGGAGAGCACCTTAAATAATTCTTTTTTAAAAATTGTGTCTAAAACTTTTGTTAAAACAAATTGACAAACATGTAGGGGAGTGTCCACCAAACCTAAACCATGGTAGAGGAAAGAGAAGTTGCAATCATGAAGAAATGAAGTGATTATAATCTTTTTTAAAAAAGAAGTAAAAGGACATAGGTTATTTTTGTACAAAAAGGCCTAATTAAAGTATAGTTTCTCATAGTAAGGAATACATGTTGCATATACTCACAGGTTACTAGACACAACCAAAACATCATTAAATAAGGATAGATATCTTTTCTTCCTTTTGTTGTAGCTCATGATTTCCACCGGGCCTTGGCACAGCAAGGTTCTATGAATTTCTCCCATGTTGACAAGTTGTTTCCGTATAAAAAAAATAAGATTCTCCTGGTACGGGTCTCCACCTAACAAAACAAGATTTAGTGGATAAGTTGTAAGACCAATGTTCATACTAAATTTTAAAGAGTTCGTGATATTAAAATGCAGTAAATAAAGTTGAAAGAGAATATCTGAGGAATATTATAGCAACATTTATATTGATAACAGTTAACATATGGTATATATGTATGAAGTTCAAAAATGAATAAAAATGTGATACTAAAATGTAATTGTAACATAAATGATATGTTAACAGAAAGGATAGTAAGAACTTAAAATATCAACCACAGTTTAAAATTTTAGACTGCTTTTTATACATGTGTCCTTTCCTATATTGGCCTATATGTCTGTTTCCTTCAGAAATGTCTTTTTAAAGTGGTTGTCCTTTGTCGAAACTGTTTGAATGGTGAAAACTTAAAAATGAACAGCTGATGTATATTGTCTTCTGAAGGTGTAATTGTATTAATCTAAACAACTCAAGCCAAAGACTTCTGTGTTTGTGATCCTGATGTTCTGTTGAGCTGTCCAAACTGTCATAATAAACTAGATCTCTGCCAAGTCAGCAAAACAAAGAAACAATCAAACAAACACTACAGCTCTCAAAAAATTATTGTGAAGTTGGTCTTGTTCAGAATAAGGGGTCATTTCCATTGCCTCTTGCCTGTGGCTCCTGTAAGGATATCATCATGGATTCTGGGAAGTAAAAATACTTGTTAAATTTTAAAGTCTCCACCTAGATTTCTGTACCTTTCCAAACTTCTCCATTTCTTGTACTATGCTAACTACGGAATCCCTTTCTCCAACTTTATGAATGCAAAGTTTCTCCTACTCAAGTTATCCCCAGTTTTCTCTCCTGATATTCTTCCTTCTCTATTACCCAGCCTTGGCCATGGAAAATCTGTTTCTTTTTTCTCTCTACTCAGAACTCTTCCACCTGCCTCTGAACATGTTTCCTCTGTTATCCCTAATAAAATTCTTCCCTGTAATACTGGAGTAGCAAGTCTTCTGCTGGTTTCTTTACTATGACCTGCTCAAACAAATGGTATATTTATGATATATATTTTCTTTGAGGGAATACAATTCTGGCAGAAACATGTTATATCTTTTAAAAATTATGTACAGAGGCACCATATCTTTTAATTAGAAAGCATTTAGGATTCCAGTGGATCAAAATGTCAAAGATACACCCACCAACAGTTGTCATCACACACTTGAAACAATAATTAAAGATATGAAATAAAAATAATACCAACTCAATTTCATGATAAGCAAAATTGAAAGCAAAAGAACATGTCTGGAAAGTAGTTCCCGTCTATCTGAATTAATATTCAAATACTTAGAAAGATTCCAAAGAATGTAATATGTGTTAGAAACCATAACATTCTGAAGAAAACCAACAAGTTATTAGATTTTGCGTGTACCAAAAAAGCCTGTCCAATTTATTTAAATCTTTGTGGTTAAAACAGTTGGGTTGCTATAAAATAATCATCACCCATAACTTGGGCAGATTTTTATTTTAAGATTTACAGTATCCTTTTCCTGTATGCTCAAAGCATACCTCTCCTCACAGAATAATATTGTTTCTACAGAAGATTGGTATTGAATATTCCTACAACGGCTACCTTTTCAAGAAACCATTGCTGACTTGAGAGTTAGCTCATATGATCTGTAGGAATGAAGAGAGAACATTACCTGATATGATTAGTCTATCATGAGGATCTAATTAATTATAAAAATACTTTTTCTGGGCAGCCTGGATGGGAGAACTTTCTAATAGACTTGAATTTTTTATTCTTTTAGTCTTTCTTCCTCTTTAACTGAGTTTTTTGATATTTTATTTATTTATATTTCAAATGTTATCCCCTTTCCCTATTCCACCTCCCCCCTTAACCCCCTATCCTATCCCTCCTCCTCCTTTTCTTGTTTTTATATCATTACAATTACATGCAAGTATTAAGATCAGTTCTAGGTTGAGGAACTAGCTATACAATAAATGTAAATAGTCAAGGAACAGGTAAGACAATAAACCCAGATAGTCAAAGAACAAGCAGAATAATAAACATATGGACTTGAAATTTTATTTTGCCTTCTTACTCCTGAACACCAAACTGGTAACTGCCTTTGGTAGACAAACCACTGAAGTCTGAGAGCTCTGTAGTAGTTAGGCTGTAGGACCATTGGTGATGTCAATAGTCTAAGGCTCATGCCATCTGACAATGTGACACATGCATTTCCTTTCCTTATACTTAGTGGCTTTAAAAGTGTTTTTGTAGCAATTGTTGAACTGTAAGTTTTTGTAAGGGCCGGGTGGTGGTGGCACACACCTTTAATCCCAGCAATTGGGAGGCAGAGGCAGGAGGATTTCTGAGTTCGAGAGTTCGAGGCTAGCCTGGTCTACAGAGTGAGTTCCAGGACAGCCAGCGCTACACAGAGAAACCCTGTCTCAAAAAAAAAAAAAAAAAGAAAAGAAAAAGAAAAAAGAAAAAAAAAGAAAAAAAAGGTTTTTGTAAGGAATAACGTATTTTCACAACCATGTATATCTTTATGAAAGTTATATAGGTGACAGAATATAGAGACAGATGGATGATAGATCAATAGACAAATAGATTGATAGGTACTCTTTGGCTCGTTACTTTAACTGTAACATGCTCATGTAATTCAACTATTAAAACATATATTAAGTGAATACCATGCTGCCCAAAACATATGATATGTCAATGAATATGTAGAGAGATGAGAGCTATTACCTAGAAAGCATTTAAGACCCAGGAGATTCAAGGCGTCAGGAGGAACGGCAGCCAATGGTTATTGTCACACACATCCCACAATAATGTAAAGATATTTTACAAAAATAATGCCAACTCAGTTTCGTGATATTCTAAATTAAAAGAAAATGAACACCTTTCTAAAGTGATTTCTTACTATATGAATGAACATTAAAATATTGAAAACTTAAAAAATCCACCACATATCTTGGAAAAACAATAATTCTGAAAACCAGAGAGTTCACAGACTTTAGGTTGAAGTCTGACCAGTTTACAACCAAAGTTTGTGTTCATAGTGAGTAAAAACAATCAGATAGTTTAGAAAATAATCCTCTTTCATGTCCAAGATATGTATTGTTTGAAGACTTATAGAAAACTTTCTCCTGGAAACTCAAAGCTTACCTCCCCTTGCCTGACAACTTTGTTTCTTTAGAGTATTGGTACTGAACATTTCTCATGAGTAACTTTTTATGAAGGCACTGCTGAGTTAAAAGTTAGTTCACATGATCTGTAGAAATCAAGATAGGACACTTCCTGATTCCATTAGACTGTCATAAAATCTAATTAGTTACTATATACATACCTTCACAGTGGAGCCTGCAATCTAGAACCAATCAATGTCCTTGAAATTATCGCTTTCCTCCTAGGCATTAAATAACAAACTGAACACTGCAGTTGGTAAACCAACCACTGAAGTCTGAAGATTCTTTGGTAGTCAGGGTGGCAGGCCATTGTGATGTCAAGATTCCAAGGCACATGCTATAACTGACAAAGTGACAAGTGTATTTCATGTCCTTCAATCTTTTGGTTTTAAAACCATATTCTTTTAACAATTGTTGAACCATAGGTATTTTTATTAAATAATAGATTTTCACAAAAATATGTGTACTATGATAGATAGTAAATAATACGAGTTCATGAAAAGGAGAAACATTGTGAATATCCAAATATTACCAATAAATAATTCTATCTTTTACATAACAAAGGTATACATGAAAGTCAACATCAGTAACACTGTGAACCTGAAAGACCAACATCCAAATATCATAGGAGACTTTAAAAATGAGTGTGCTTTACTGAATAGATTCAGAAAGCTTCATCCATAGAGAGATCAGACAGCATTGAAGATATTATTTTCTCCATCACAATGATGCTTATTTCATAATCATAGTGAAGTATAAAATACACTCTTTAAATGAATTCATTCTATCATCTACAATTTCAATATAAAAGCCATTAAAATAAATATAGAATACAATTCTATTTTATTTTATTGCTATTATTTGAAGTTTGAAGTTTAAAAATTAGGTCCTCTTTTTCCTTTTTTTAGATGAATCATTATATTTTCTTTCACCTTCCTTTTATTAAATATAGATTCTTTTTTCATACAACACATTCTGATACTCCTTCTACTCCTCTCAGCTCCTCTCTAACACACACACACACACACACACACACACACACTCACTCACTCACTCCTTCTCTCATATCTGTGTTCAGTCCATTTCCT